TAGTTGGGTTCCCCAGGGTACCATTTTTATGCAACGTACACAAGAATGTACCTTCATAACTATTCCATATAAATCATATCATATACTCTACAAACCAAAGTATATCGAACCTAGAAATGCATAAAAAATATCTTGGTGCATAAACGTCTCAACAAATAATTAAATATATATACTCAATCCTCATATATCATATTTTAGTAGCAGTAGAACTCCTTATGAAAGAGTTCGTCCAGGGAAGTACTGCCACCTTACCTATTTCTGCCGGCAAGCAATATAATGTCAGCATTCCTGTGTTCCGGTTTTGAATGGTAAGGGTGCTGGTGAAATTACAGGCACATGGGACTTATCAACTTATGTCGCAGGGTGACGGGCGCCGTGGCGATGCCCCTCAGATCTTTGCGATTTAAAGCTCTTGACTGGCACTGCAGTTGTTAGCTTACCATCAGGTGCACGACTCGTTCGTCCCGTCACTTGAACTTATTAAAAAAAAAACTTAATATAGGGCCCCGACCTTAGAATAATAACCTTAGAATAACAACGCATAGAAACCTAGTCCGCACACGCTAAGTGAGGCAAATTGAAGCGCGCCCAAAGGGCCTACACGAGCGGGCGGGCCTTCAGTGCTTAAGGTCAACTTGCACCGCGAATAGATCACAAATTTTAGCTAAAAATGACGAAATGTGCGGTAAATGAGTGTAAAAATACATCAGACAAACATAAAATAGATACTAGCATCACATTCCACAATTAAGTAACGCGTTTCAACTTGTATTTTTATATAAATATTCACTAAAACCGAAAATTAACCTACTACTAAAACTAGCCTACGTGAATTTGATTTTTGCCTCACTTGTGACAGTTCGTTCGATATGAAAGTATCATTCTATGCGTTATTATTCTAAGGCTCCGACCTTAACATTGTATAAGTATATTGAAAATGAATGAAGTTTTTATTAATATTTATTTATTTATTTAAAGTAAAAGGACACAAATGTGATCATTCGCTAATAGTATTTTATGCAATCGTTGCATAAAGAGGATACTTAAAGTTGAGTATCGTTTTTAGGCCGCTAGTCTTCACCGAGTGGAAGAAGTAATGATTGCATACAATACTTTTTTCTACGAGTAAATAAAATTATGAAACAGGACCAATATTTAATGTAGGTATATTTTGTCCATCAACCCATGACAATAAACGCAATTTTTTTTAAATAAATTTTAACCATAGATTTAGTATCTGGATATAGTAAAATCTATGATTTTAACCCATTTATTAGAGCAGGCAAGACAAAGGTTCGACCATACAGCCTCTTCTTAAATTTAAACGAATGCCAAACTAACGCTACAAAACAAAAAACCAAAGAGATAGACTAGAAGTGCCGAAGTACCGCTTAATTTTTATGAATAACTTTTTTTTAAATTAAAAATTTAATAAATCAAAAAGACCTTTAAGCCAATTTAATCGATCAAGAGGCAGTAGAGCGTTTGAGTAGCGTCATATTTGATATTTTAATTAACAAAAACACGACGTTCTTTTTTGAAAATTATTTTTAACTCTGTGTACAGAACTATTCAGAAGTAATTTCATTTCATTAGCGAGTACCATAGACAACATAATTTTAATTCAGAACTACGCCTAGAACTTAGAGGATGGAAAAAAGAGGATTCAGAACTAAAACTAGCCCTTATCGTATACTTTAGATAATTTTTTTCTTAGATGATGGAAAAAGAATTTTTCTTCCATCCTCAAGGGTCGTACGGTTTATGCAATTATAATTGACAGATAAAGTACAGGAGTAGCAAAAATTTTTTTTTTTGATGTCAAGTGACAGGATGAAGAAGCCGTACGCCCGCTGGTAAACGACTGGCCTGTCCATAACAGTTGCAGTGCCACTCAGGGCTTTAAATCGTAAAGATCTGAGGGACATTGCCACTGTACCCGTCATCCTGATAAATTGACAAATTCCATGTGCCTGTAATTTCGCCAGCATCCTTACCCTTCAAAACCGAAACGCAGTAATGGTCATCATTAATGGTAATTACTGCTTGGCGGCAAAAATAAGTAAGATGGCACTACTTTCCTAGACGAACTCTTTCACAAGAAGCTCTACTATTACTAAAATATAATATATGAATATCACGTTAGTAAGAACATCGTGATATTCAATATAATGAATACTGATATTGATTCTTGTTTACAAGTCAATTACTGGTAAACACAAATATCAATAGATATGTATATATTTAAAATTATAGTGAAAATAATTAACTACGTAATATTCAAGAGCTTAGTTTTAAATCATATTTCTAAGTGGCTGAATACATCGTCATTGGAGCTACTCAGGAGTATAGTATAGTGGGGCGCACTATAAGTTTTCGGAATGAATAAGAAAAAAATACTATAAATGGTCAGAAATGACTTTATTTTTTCTCAAAATAGTCACTTTTTCATAGGAATGAACCAATTTTGAAAACATTTGTGCCACTTCTCCGTGTTAATCTCTGAAACATATTTTTCACACTCTTCGACAGCCTCTTCAGGTGATGAAAATCGGTGACCGCGTTACTGGTTCTTAATTTTTGGGAATAAATAAAAGTCACAAGGTGCCACGTCGGGACTGTACGCGGGATGGCTCATAAGGTCAACGTTGTTCACCTTCAAAAATTCATTTGTCTGTCTGGCCGTGTGAGAACTGGCATTATCGTGGTGCAAGATGATACGGCGTTTACGGTTATTTTTACGGAGTTTGTCGATAACTCCCGGCAAACAAATGGTCGTGTACCAATCACTATTCACGGTACAACGATTCTCCAAAACAACAGTAGCCACGTGTCCAGTTTTATTAAAAAAAAAAGCAATCATCCGCTTAGAGGCACTTCCCACGCGCGCCACTTTGGTTGGTTTCAACTCATCTCGAAAGACCCATACGCTCGATTGCTGCTTTGTTTTGGGATCGCAACTATAAATCCATGTTTCATCACCTGTTACTATGTCCCACACCAAATTTGACGCCCCTTCGTTGAATCTAGTAATCATGGCATTGCACCAAGTGACGCGATCCGTTTTTTGAGCCTCAGTCAAATTGTATGTGATCCACCGAGAGCACAGCTTTTTGACACCCAAACGTTTGTGTAGGATTGATTGTATTTGACTCATGCCTATGCCTAAAAATGCTCGAATATTATGGTATGTGACATGCCTGTCTGTTTTGATCATACGGCGCACAGCATCGATGTTTTTGTTGTTCACAGCAGTGGACGGGCACCATCACGAAATTCGTCACTGAGATTCACACGACCGCGTTTGAATTCTGCAAACCAGCTATAAATAGTCCTCTTGCATGGTGCTTCATCGCCAAAAGCAGCAGCCGAGCCAAGCTGTACTGTTAGATTACATTTAAAGTCGTAGAAAAACATACTAAATCCATGGTGATATAGAAAACTAATTTCTAAAATGACGCCACAATGTAAAAGCAAGTGACAGTCAGATGAAACAAACTGTATTCTACAAAGAGTTCCATTTTCAAATGTTGTAATTACTTTTTAAATATTGTATATGTAAGTGACCAGTTCCGGAAACTTATAGTTCGTATGTATAATAAACAAAACAAAATCTTCTTCGGCATTACCATGAGTTCGTTAGAAAAATATATAATATTTTAAATTTGCAGAATTCTATTTTAGCTGAGTATTTCTATTCCGAGAACAACAAAATATATTAAACCGTATTTTGGACTGCACGCCCGTCCTTGTAGTAGGCGGGAGCTGTAGTACTCGTCTACCGCCAACGCAGTATCACTCATGATTGCTTTACAACGAAAGTTCACGTTAAAAGCAATTGTACTTATATACGCACAAGATATTCGTCGTAAATGTAACTAAGATTTAAGCTTTTACAACATGATTATGAATGTTATTGAGTACACGTTCAGAACGCACTGTTTAGTTTTCTCCAACGACAAAACGTTATTAACAGCTGTTAATAACGCAGCTCGACTGGCATCTTTGAAATCAGCTGTTGTCTTCGAACGTTTGTCAATTCGTTACACCCCTGCTGGGAGAGACATAGCGTTAATGCATCGCACTTGACCGTCACTTATTATTATTTTATATTATTATTTATACAAAGCCAAAATTCATACACCAATGGTTCACACATTTAAGTGCTCATAGCATACAGATTAAGGCTAGGTTCAGATGGACGCACATATACCATGACGCATGAACGTTTAGATGACGAGAGGCACGCGCGATGCGTGCAAGTACTTGCTGTGAACGGGCGGTCATCTGAACAGGTACACTGTCACGCCCAGAATTCCAAACGCGCCGCGATGCGCTTTTGCAACGGTGGCGCGCGCTTTGAAGTATTTTCTCTGAACGCGGCTGTTTGTACCAAATGAACGAATATAATGTAACATGTGGATCTGAAAACGCGCATTAAATTTTTGTTATCTGAACTTAGCCTTAAGGAAACTCGCACGTAAACCCACGTAAAACTCGTGATAACTATCGGTATATGTATTATGGCGCTTGTAGGTTATTATCAGATTCCTGAAAATGTCTAAATAGTTCCAAAATCGAACGCATGGTATACCAAAACAACGCAAACCATTGTCACCAATACATTATCTCTGGTCACCAATAATTTGGACAAAATTGTACATGGTATTCTAGAATATCTATAAGAGAACCTCTTAAGGCCTTGTGTACATCAAAATGTACATAATATGTGAAGTGATTCAGAGTCTAGACCATATTATTCCTATGACCACGTAAACGCCTAAATGTGCATTATAATAAAAAAATCAAATTTATAGCTGTATATTGTATAAGTACAATAATCACAGAATGTCTAGAAAAATACTTTAAAAAAAATTACTGTTGCATTTTAAACACAAAAAGTGTATTAATTATATTTAGTACATTTTGATGATCATTGGGCGCTTACGAGGTTATAATATGTAATAATATTATATTTCATTGTTTTCTTCTTGTTACAGTGTGCAACTTTATAGTGCACGAGAGATGTGTGGGGCAGGTTGTGACGCCATGCTGCGGCGTGGCGCCGAGCCTCATCAAAGTAAGTATTTCCTTATTATTTTTATTGAACGCCGGCTTATTTAACACTTCTACAAACGCTACGGATTATTGAGGACCCAATTCACATTTGTGTAACCACTAACACAAAAAAATATATAACTAAGCGACCATATGAACATTTATTTACAGTTTAATGTAAGTTGCTTTTATAGCAACCATTTTAATAGTCTTTCAATGGGAATGGGAATAACTTACAAAGTAAACGAAAGTAATTTACCTACAGGAGTCACCACACTTCGCATCTTTACAATGAAAGTGACCCAATTAAAAAAAATCATTCAACGATTTTAAAAATCATTGTTCACAAGGTTGTTAATCTGATAGTGATCTATTAAAGCTCGAATAGCACTGAATCACTATATAGATGGGTCCTAAGTATAAGGGCCAAACTAACAATTTGATCATTTTCACTTTTTTGTGGGAAATGCTTCATTTCATTATAATCTGTAAGGTAGCGTTAAAACAAAATCAAACGTATGACGAAACCTCAAAATACAAAGAAATCTTGAAATTATACCAGATTGAAAGTTTGGAAGCCTCCCCTGTAAAATTGTGATTTAGCGCTTTGGCCCTTATACATAGGACCCATCGACGGTTTGTCTCGTTCATTTTGTTCTGTGTCGGAATATCAACGCCGCATTTAGTGTTGAATATAAACGTGAGAATAGTGTTCTGTGATCTACACTTACAAAGACAACACGCCGCCACTGTTGGCGAAAAAGTGACGGATTAGCAAATGAGCCATTTTCGTTCCGTAAATCGTTATTAAAAAATTATTACATTTTTACAAACGCGACTTTCTTTCACAATTAAAACGTCTTACTCTTGATAAGATGATAACACGTTGCTTAGCAGGTTAAAATAAAGCGACTTAGGTCAAATGACAGCAAAAAAGTTCATTGAAAAAGTGACCTTACGGCGACTAGTTTTATCAAATTATGTTTTTAAATTGTTAAATATTAAAATGATCAAAAACAGTTGTAAAGCTAAAAAAAATGATGAAACATTCAGCAATCGTTATTTTCCAAGACTAACAAGGCACAAAGTTTAGTACTTCAAAAGTAATCAATTAATTATTATGAAATGTCACAACTTCAAATCTTATTTTGCATATTCCCAGAAAGATGAAATTGTGTATTTTGTCACTTTCATTGTAAAAGTGCGACTTGTTGAGCTTGAGCGGGTCAGAAAAACTTTGTATCACATGCACTAAGATGGACAGTGTTTTCTGAACGGCTTTACCGGTATAATAAGGCCACATTTGCAAAATTACAACTTTTGAAGAGGCTTAATTCAAATTTCTTTATTTCGGAATATTCGGAATATAACATTTTTTTCTAAAACTTAATGCAACCGGGTCTAGTGCTCATGAAGAGAACCCCGGACCCTGTTTGCAATTATACTCAGGAGGCTATTGTTGCTGCCACGAACTAGTTGCACCAGTGAAACCGCATTTTTCGCATAATAGCTGCAAAAATCTACCTTAGCTATGGCGAACATCTCCGACACACTGCAAAAATAGTGGCAGCTGCAACAACATCCTGAATATGTTATTGTACAAAACTCGTAGGGCGCCAAGAGATTTTAAGGTGTAGTTGACCCAGTTTAATGATTCTACCATCGAATTATATAACCAGAAATAGAGACGAAATGTCATTTAATTTGTTTGAAAACTATTCTGCCAAATCATTAATGTGACAACTGCGCTTCGATTGGCCAGCCCGGCTTCGAAACAATTGACGGGTGTCGTCAATTGTTTCGCTTCAAATCGACCAGTTTAACTTGAGCTTTTCTACTACTACTTTTCTTTTCTTTATAATTGACGAAAATTGAAAAATTACTTACGTATTTATTAATATTTAATTACCGATGAAATGCGATTCCGTTTGTTTTGTAATTAGATGTTTTGGTGTTTTTCCCACACCACCAAATGGATCAGCCCCCCATAGATAGAAATATTATCTTTATTACAATAAATACATAATGTTTTTGGAATATACGGAGACATACATACAGGCCAGTTGTTGGCGCTGTACTATTTCAGCTTTCTAATTTGTAATTTCAGTGCAAAGGAGAGTTGATATTTAAAAGTGATATAAGGCCCATTTGTCCGACGAGTTGCCAGGAATGGTTGGCCCATATTTCATCTCTATTTCTGGTTATATACTCGATGGATTCTACAAACGAAATTTATCGATAACTTTTTATGCTTATCTAAGAGTATTATAAAATTTCTTTATTGCATAATTTGTTTTATATAGTTCGTATTACTTTTATAACTTTATAAAGATAAAAGCATTTTGACATGATCACATGTGACTTTATAAAAGGTGCGAAGTGTGGTGCCTCTCTACCTCGTTCTCAATGTTAGTAGAGTTGGCATTCGGCATTGGCATAACCATTAATAGACACGAATGTGTGGACAGTGATAGGCTCATGCATAATTTGTTTAATTTGTGCAGAACCCAGTGGCTCACTGCTGGTCGGAGCCGGCGCACCACAAACGCAAGTTCTGCACGGTGTGCCGGAAGCGGCTCGATGAACTGCCGGCACTCCATTGTATGAGTAAGTATAACGATCACTGCAAGAAGATTACATTTTATTTCTCGGTGTTCCAATGGATGCTAACCATTTTTCTTGGGCGCCAAAGGAGGTCTTTTCTAAATTTGTTCTTGTTGTTGACGTTGCTCTGGTACCTATAGTATACGAAATTCCCTAGTTTAAGACCTGCGCCCCAATTGCAAACGCAAGTGCAAATGGTATTCAAACCACGGGCTATTGTAATTCCATTGAGACTCCACTGACATTATACTGCAAATACAATCATATTTCTTTTTTATATAATATCAATATTCAATATGACGGGACGAACAAGTCAAGTAGCAGTAGAGCTCCTTGTGAAAGAGTTAATCCAGGCAAGTACTACCACCTTACCAATATCTGCAACCAAGCAATAATGTCAGCATTACTATGTTCCGGTTTTAAAGGGTAAGGGTGCTGGTGAAACTATAGTTACATGGGACTTGTCAACTTATGTCTCAGGGTGACGAAAGCAGTGGCAGTGCCCCTAAGATCTTTGCGATCTAAAGCTCTGAGTGCCACTGCAACTGTTATGGATAGGCGTGTAGGTTACGATCAGGCGCACATATCATAAGTAAACACAGGACAAGGCAGTCTGCCTTAAAATATATTTCATTTAAAGCATTGGCTGTGTCAAATGAAATTTTTCAATCTGTATAAAAGAAGAAATAAAGAAAGAAAATTCATTAATTGATTTGTTTTCCACAAAAAAAGCAAAAAAACTAATCTTAATCAAAACATTCAAGCGTAAAAAAAAATAAAGTCACAAACTAAAAGAAAAATAAAATTAAAATAAGGTCAATGATTAAAATGCATACTATTCGCATAAACAAGAACATTAAGTATAAAGAAACTTTGTGTGGTGCCAGACGCGGTAAGGAAAAGGTCAGGTCAGTATTTGCCGGAAAATGCAATGCTTTCCCAAACCTGACGTATGTAATATATAACTCAGACGCCTTATCCTGCCCCGAAGTACGAACATTTGGATACTTATGTTATTATTGGGCATTTTTCCTAGAAGGGCTAAATTCTCTGACTTGAGTAGTCGAATTTTTTTTTCTTAATTTCAGGAAAAATATTGAGCGTGAAGGAAAACGAACTCAAACTTACATAAGATTTCGTTAATTGGGCAACTAGATTCTTAATAGTTAACGACATATTTGATCCACCGAATTCAGCTACCACCGAAATCGATTTTTTTTAACAAAAATCAATTTTTTTATAAAATATTATGAAAAAGGCAATAAAAACATTCAATAATCTACATAAACATTTACTAATATGACTAACTATTAAATCAGGCCTTAAAAACTACAATTTATTTATAAATCGACCAGAACAACGTAAACAGATTTCATCATATGACTATCTGATGATAATAATTATAAAGATGATATTAATAGAAACGTCGAAATAAGTTCACAAGATTGTGAAGTCATTGCATAACATACACATACAAAGAAAGAAAAAGGTTGAATTTCTAAACCTTCTCTTCCTTTAAAGTCGGTTAAAAATAATATGCTAATTCATCATCTGGTACACAAAACGTCCAGATTCATACGACCTCGAAACTTTATTTTGACTGGACTAACCAGAAATTCATATTTGCAAAGGAAACCATTGTCCACTAGGTCATGTAAATTACTATTAGTTCAATATTCCGCGTCTCAAAAAAAAATCATTATATTCAAACAATAAACTGGTTCCTAATAAAGTAATTCACTTAGGTACATATATTTTACAACACTTTTTGAGAGATGTGATGTGTAAATGTTTTGCAGTATGCGAGTACTATGTTCACGGTGAGTGCGTGGACTTTGCGGCGGCGGACTGCAAGGAGAACGCGACGTACTGCGCGGGCACAGAGCCCCGGCACGTGCACCACTGGCGAGAGGGCAACCTGCCCGCCAACTCCAAATGCGCCGCCTGCCGCCGCGCATGCTGGTCCGCGGAGTGCCTCACGGGCTATCGCTGCGAGTGGTGTGGCAGCACGGTGAGCACCTCAATCCTTCTACAATCCTCTGGACGGTATTTATAATATAATCGGCAACAGTGAGGTGCCCGAAGAAGTCTTAGGGTCGTATTCCAGAACCCTACTCAAAGCTCAAGCCAGGATTTGAGTATGATTTAAAGCACTGAAACTCATACTCAAGTCCTTGCCATTAGGGTCGTATTTCCAGTGCTTGAAATCATACTCAAGTCTGCTCAAATCCTGACTTGAGCATTGAGTACAGTTCTGAAGCGCGGTTACTACTTCGGTAGAAAGTCCTTAGTATTTTGCATAGTAGTAACTGCGTCTGTGATCGAACGGTTACCATGCCGGACTGCCACGCAGAGCTCCCAGGTTCGATTCCCGGGCCGGAAGAAATATTTGTATAGCCTACATTTATTTCTCTCGTCAGTTTGGGTGTAATTTGTGGTTGTCTACGTGTGTGTCCATGGCATTCGCGATGCAGGGTTTCCCTAGTGCGGGGCTACGTTGAGTGTGTGCGTTATTATTATCTCCTAACATTACGTCACTGTGAACTTAAACAAAAGTGTCGCGTAACACTTGACCATTCGGTGTAGTGTCACGCGGGCTGCCGCGCGCTCATCCCAGAAGATTGCAACTTCGGCATGCTGCAGCCGATCTTCCTGCCGCCCGCGGCGGTGTCCACACCGCGCACGGAGGTGCCCATGGAGGCGATCATCGGCGTACACGTTCGCCCGCCGCCGTCGCAGCGCGACTTTGGATGCCGTAAGTGTCCGCTTTACAGCGCCCGCACCGCACGGCTTCCCCCACATGTGCCGCGCACCGCTCCGTGTTCCCCGCTCCCGGGCCACCCGCATCGGCAACGAGCAGTCGCGACGATTACATTACGGATTAGCACAACTGTGGCTCTATTAAAACACTCGGTTGTAAATCTTGAGTCCGGACGTAGATCGACGGAACGTCGTAGAGCAGGTGAATGTAGCGTTGAGGTTGCGGCTGCTCGTCGGCTGCCGCGGTGGCCGCGGGTGAGCGATAGCTTAAGCAGCGGTGCGCGGCGGCACATGCGTCGGTGGCGGCGGCGGCGGATGTAGCGTGTCTGTGGGCAGCGCGGCGGCGCGGCTGGGGCGCGTGGGGCGCATGGGGGCCGCAGCGCCTCGTCACCTTCGCGCGCCGCCTGCTGCCGAACACCTGCTCGCCTCACGCCGGCGCTGAGCCCCCCTACTCGAGAGGTAACCGCTCCCTGCGACCACCGCACACCCCGCATCCGCTACAAAGCAGTCTCTCCGCATGATCGTCCACCCTCTCGGCTTCTGCTACTCCGGTTCAGCTCTCTGATGTTTGTCCGACGTTAGCAAATGACAATCGCTGAAGCACTACGCTCAGTAACGCAAAATGTAAACTGTCTTTCTCTACTAATTTCAAGAGCGTTACAACAAACGAGTTGTACAATATGACGATTCACATGAAGCTCGCTACCGGTTATCTTCTGGTTTTTACACCGTGCATCTTGATACCTTACCTCATCTACAATTGTGGAGTACTCGTTCAAGGACCAACCTAATTTGTACGCTGACAATTAATCTTCGATAGTTCTAGGTATCTTGACTCGCTAGCACTTTATCTTACGATCTACGTATCCTCTAGTTCTAACAGTACATTTTCTGGATTGTTATCCACACACACTTGTTGGCACTGAAATACAAACTTCTGTCCTAAATCTGATTCCTTCTGAAATATCTTCTTTCTAGGTTGGAAACTCCTGGAATTCGCAAGAATTTTAATGGCGTTCCATATGTACCAATTACCGAAAATGATCTAGTTTCACAGATAAAGTTTTCGGAACGTGAGTCGAAGGTAGCAAACTTAAACCGGCACGTTAGAAGCTTCCACCCTACGCTTTTACACACCATTGTTCACTACCATTTTGGGTAATGCACACGATAAAGATGAAACTATAATTTACAGCTTTTAACGGGAAACGATGTCAAAATCCTAGGCTTCGTTTTAAACGAGCCAAGGCTAATGTCACAATATGTAAAACGAATCATAAAAATAATTAATAAAAATAATATAGAGTATGTGTTTGCAAGAATATCGGAACCTAGGATATTTTTGCTCTTGACTGTTCAGTTATTTTTAAAAATTTGTTGTTCGCTGTGCATGCAAAAACGCTTCTTATTAAAATAATGTATCTAAAATGGAATAAATAACAGATACACTATATTTTATATTATGTACTCGTATAAAACTAACGCTGCACACAAATTTTCGGTGTAATTGGCACGACCTTCCAAAAACTTTACACCTATCTATCCTTTTGGATATGTCTCCTTTCCGAACGCTGGTACGTTTTCCTCTTGTCATATCTTATTGCCAACCTGTAGAACTGCAAGATTATCTCAGCAAAGAACAAAATTACTTTGAACATTTCCTCGTTACTTGAGTTGTACTTGGCCGAGAGCCACATTGCAAGCATTAAGCGGGTGCCTCCACCTTATATCTTATATACCCGCCTTTTAAATGTTTCGAACAATTTGCTTTATAAAAAGCCGATTAAGAGATTATAACACGGGTTAAAGTGTTCATGGACAGTAACAGCATTTATTTTAAAATATTAGAATATGACATTACGTGTACACCGTTTCGCTATATGAATCTCAAAAAACCAACCACAGGATTTACAGTGTGATTTCCAAGTGCTTTCTATGTAATTGCTGCGTACTGCTTTTCCATAGAGAAATATTCAACTACGTTTAGAGAAATGTGGTTAGACGTCAGACGTGAGGAGCTGAAAGCCCGACAACCTGCGGCGATCAGCTACCACTACGTTCACAGTGTGCGCACGGGTCTTTACTAACAAGATTTGGTACATGAGCCACGTGAAACAGTAGCCACGCCAAAATCAGCGGAGCGGAAGCAGTTGCTGTGGCCGAAAACGGCCGAGAGAATGTATGTCAAATCAGTATAGGCATTACGGCAAGAAAAGTACTGACTTTTTTGTATGCTGTACTACTTTAATACTGTCTATGAAAGGATTAACAACTCTATAACAGTAAATTTAAAGTTCTTAGGTTTTCGCGATTGTTACACATAGGAAACGAAACTATTTTTCCGGATTTAAATCGCGTATATTTGTTTTTTCAAACAAACCGACGTTTCGGGCCCTTTACAGGTCCC